CCTTGGCTTGTGGTGGGTGGAGGAGAGATTAATGCTTTGTACGGGGATGATTTGAAAGCTGGTTGCTCAGAGGTCAAAGCCGAGTTGAACGCATCGGTGTAAAAAGTGCCAGTTGAGTGAATATCCTCAGTGAGGGACGTGGAGAGGTAGAGGGGAATTCTCCCATACCTGTCAACATAAGAAGGACTAACAATCGGAGAGGTAGCAAAGTGCAAATATTCCAATGAAGCAATATCTTCGCTCAATTAAGAAGGGACACTTTTCCCAGCAGCCAGTTCACCTACCAATGATTTTTTTTGGGGGGGAGACCATGCAAACTCCACACAGAGAGCACTCCAGGTCCAGAATTGAATCTGGGGTCCTCCCACTGTAACGCTAATGACTGAGTCACTCTGCTGCCCACTGTTGGTAATCTTGATTTCTGGAAACTGAATATAATAAAATAAACATTTAGTTACCATTGCCCTACTACTTTACAAAGACTCCTGCACTTACCTAGAAATGGTTAGAAATTGGACTGGTTGTACTGACTGATGCGCGTTCCCCCTTGGTGCTGTAAAACCGTGGGACTGTGAGGTTTGGGAACAGTCAGCCAGAATTAGAGATGAAAGACCCAGCATGTACGAGCCGGGCCGGGCTCATGTCTGCCTCAGAGACTTCCGAGCAGACGTCTGGTTTCTACACCTCTGTTCTGCACTTCTGATTAATGTGCTCAGTGCGCCTTGTAATCTAGAATCGCATGGGGGTTTGTCTCTTGTGACAGATTTTGGGTAAAAAAGTCACTCGTACAGCTAGACCGACTGAAAGAAATGTTCAGGTTCCCAGTTGTAAATGTCTGAGGAGGTGAAATGATACAGCCTGGAAAACATACGGTCTGGTAACTTGTCTGTTGGTAGGTCTTCGGGAAGTGTTTGTGATGCTGTTTGTGAAGGTAGATTTCTGGAAAGTTAGGGACACTCTGACTTCTGATCCACCATGTCATTCCCTTGGGAATGCGTCTCCGTGCAGCGATTTATGAGGACGTGTGTACCACGAAGACAAGATGTCAGGCTTTGACTGAAGCATAGGAGCTCCATACCTAAAGCTGATTTACTGAACAACAAATAAATGTGCATGTTTCTGTAATTATGCATGGTAAATGCGGTATGCTTTTTAAATTGTTTAAACTCATTAAAAAAAATTCAAGATGTCCATGTTTTTCCCTTTTGTCCCATAAATATGTCCAGTTCCTTATTTAAACTACTCATTTATGGGTTATTGTTCTCTTTCTGCTCTTCCATTCTTCAAATTCCTGCTCGCTCCCGACGTGTATCTTGGTGACCAGATGCCCTTTTTGCGGTCACTTCGTTTGCTGTAAACACTTTAACACAAAGCGTCCGGCCTTTGCTTCATCCACAGTCACAATCACATTTCTGAACAGAAATTCCCAGACAATGTGAGGTTTTTCTTAAAATCATTCGGTTTAATACCGTATGGGAATCACTCGGCGTGTAACGGGAAGTTGAATATGTTGTCATCGCCCTCTCGTGGTGTGAAGTGTGTATTGACACTTATTGGTTTTTCTGCTTTCTCGATCCAAGTTTGTTTTTTTTGTCGGACTTTCACCACTTTGGAGTCTTGATGAAAACAGTTGAACTGTCCTGTTTTCGGTTTCCTCTTATACTCCATATCCAGAATTATACAAAACACCTTTTGTTTGTATATAAATCTTTTATGTATCTAAAAGTCAATAGAACCCTAAGCAATGGTTCGGAATCCAGTAGTTAGAATATTTAATTTCACAAGAGAGCTATAAGACTGCAGGATTCGGAAACGGTGTCATGTTACCTTTTTTATCGATGAAATAATTATCCTTGGGTTTGTGACATCGCACTAATTTGGATAGTAATGTAATTAATTCACCGTTATTGCAGTTCCTTAAAAGATCCACAAGAGGGCAACAGAGATCGTACAGTCTGGT